TTTGTATCTCTCTTAGAGCTAGGGATTTTGAACATTTCTTCATGTGCTTTTTAGCCATCTGAATGTCTTCTTTCTTGAAGTGTCTGTTCAAATCCTGTGCCCATTTTTCAATTGGATTGTTTAACTTTATCTTGTTGCAGTACATCACTGCTTCTCTTAAAGATCTGGTAGATAGCTTCCGCATAGCAGTGTTTGAGGGATCATTTATGTAAACTAATTATCAATGACATTGTCAGTCTAGGGACTAAGGTGTGCCTGATCCAGTCCATGGTCTTTGAAATTACTTGCTATGCATCAAAGAGCTGGACAATGACTAAAGTTGACAAAAGAATCGATGCTTTTGAGTTCCTGTGCTGGAGAAAAGTGTTGAACATACAATGGACGCCAAGAGAACAAAGAGAGGGTGAAACAAAGTTTCTCCTTGGAGGCACAGATTTTGAAGCTTTGTCTCACATAGTTTGGGCATGTAGCCAGGAGGGACCAGTTCTTGCAGAAGGACATCATGGCTGGAAGGATGGAAGGGACAGAGCAGGAGAGGAAGACCCCGGATGAGATGGATTAACACAGTAACTAGGGCAACAGGGGTTGGTGTGTTGGAGTCAGTGAGACTAGCTCAGGACAGGGCATGTTTCAAAGCTGTTGTACATGGGATCACTATGAGTCGCAGGTGACTTGACAGTACATAACAACAACAAAAATGATCTACATTTGAAAATAATATATTAAAAGCAAAATGAAGACATGTCAACCTAAAATCAAGGAAATATTCTAGAAATAAAATGCTTATAACTGTTTTAAAACTTTACTTCAGTCTGATCAAAACTCATACTCAAAGTTGTTTCAACAGTTCTGACTTATAGCAACCTTCCTTCAGGTCCCCAAGGCTGAAAATTGTAACTGGAGGAGACTGCCCATCTTTTACCCTCTGAGCTGCTGGTAGACTTGAACCCCAGAAGGGTTGAACCACTGAATAAACAGCACAATCAATTACGGAGTATGTCACCAAAGCTCCCATAATATGTACTAAAAATTGAAAACCCAGTTCTTGCTAGAACTGTAGTTTTCTTTTTGATCATTTACTTACTTGATAGTGTGTATGTGTGTGAGAGAGGGAGAGAGAGTTGAAAGTTTACAGAGCAAATTGATCTTCAACTCATTCATCCATACCTTATGAAACATTAATTACAATAAACAGAGTGTAACTGCACCCTTCCTGGATCTTGCCTGAGATCCTCCTATCCCACCCCATCCTGCTGCCTTCTTCTGTGTGTTGTTTCTGAGCAAATGTTGCCCTTTTGATATTCTTTGCTAGTGTTCTAAGGTGGGAGTACTACCCTGGTGTAACTATTCACTTAATAAGCCTGTCGATTGTTGGCCGAAAGATGAACCATAGAGTTAAGTTCTGTTCCAGCTTGAATGGAAACTAAGGGTTCTGCCAATCTATCAGACCAGTAGGCCTGGCCCTTTTCATGGTTTTTTTAGATTTGTTCTACATTTCTGCCCACTTTGTCCATAACTTTCTACAGTGATTCCTCTAACAATGGTGGGCAGTGGGTGCCAGGCACCATTTATTTCTTTTAGTTTCACAATCATAAAGGTTGTCATTCTGTGGCCCATTAATAGTTTGGACTAAATATGACTATGTGTCCTTGCTTTTAATCCCTCTTCTATGTTCTGGAACTGGGGAGTGAGGGCGCACAACCGGCTGCACCTTAGACAGCTATTCTTAAGACACTAGTCACTACTCGCCGAATTAGGATTTAGAACATTGTCTTTGTGCACTCTGTGGTCATTTGTATGCCAAATGACTTGATGTCCCCAGAGACTGTGGTCCTAAGAGGCTAGGACCAACCACTCATTCTATTTTGGTTATGAATAAGACATATACGTAGCTTTGTCCCCATTTGCCCTACCATGTATATAAGGATGTATTTACAGCATATAGTAATATGAGTACAGAAATATTATCTGCTTTTCATGACAAGATTACAGAAAAAGAAATGCATAGTAAAGTGGATCGTGGACTTGCAGGGGTGGGGATTGTATAACAATAAAAGAATTTTTTGTTTTTTCAAAGAGAAAAAACAAACTTGGGGGCAGGGGTGAGCAGGGAGAAAAATATGCAACAATGAATGGATGGGAGAAAACGAAATGGAAAGAATATGCTGTAAAAAAAGATACATTTATAATAACTGGGGGGAAAAGAAAATAATTATATATATATATATGCCAAACCTACATATGGTCATAAGTGTAGTCTTTTTAACTTATTAATATCTATAGACCTGTACTTTCCACAGATAGCCATAGGCCCTATGAGCCTATCTGAAATTAATTACAAAGAAAATTAACTTCTTTGGTTGCACTGTTGTTATTTGGTGGCACCAGACTGGTTTCGACTCCCAGAAACCCCAGGTACAACAGTGAGAAACTCGACACCACTCCATTCTCACAGTCGTTAATATATTTGAGGCCTAATTGTAGCCACTGTATTGACCCATGTCCTAAAGGGTCTTCCCTCTTCTTCACTTATGCTCTACTTTACCAAGCATCATGTCTTTCTCCAAGGACTGGTCTCTCCTGATAACATTCCCAAAGAATATCAAACTAACTCTTAACATCCTTGCTTCTAAGGAGTTCTTCCAAAACAGATTTGCTTGTTCTTCTGCAAAGTCACAATATATTCAATATTCTTCATCAACACCAAAATTTAAAGATGCCAATTCTTTGGTCTTATTCACTGTTCATCTTTTACACATGCATATGAAGCAACTGGAAATACCATTGCTTGGATCAGCCATAGCTTACTCCTCAAAGTGACATTTCTGATTTACAACCCTTGAAGATACAGGTTTGCCCAAAGCAGTATATATCCTTTTATTTCTTGACTGCTGCTTCTATGAACATTGATTGTGGATCCAAGTAAAATAAAATCCCTGATAACTTCAGTATTTTTTCCCCCTTAATCATGATGTTGCATATTGGTGCAGTTGTGAGGATTTTTGTTTTCTATACGTTAAAGTGCAATCCATACTGAAGGGGCATAGTCTTTATATCACTAAAGTGCTTCAAGTGCTTTATTTCAGCAAGCAAGGTGGTGCCAACTGTATATGGCAGGTTCTTAACGAGTCTTCTTCCAATCCTAAAGCTGCCTCTTTATTAATATAATCCACCTTATATTACTTGGGCAGCATACAGACTGGATAAATATAGTGAGATTATGTAACCCTGACACACACCTTTACTGATTTTAAACCATGCAGCCTCTCCCTGTTGAGTTTGACTGCCTCTTCATCTATGTGTAGGTTCTACCTGCACACAAATAAGTGTTCTAGAATTCCCAGTCCTTGCGCTGTTATCAAGAATTTGTTGTAATTCACACAATTGCATTTGCAATGTAAATAAAATATAGATAAATATGTTTCTGGTATTCTTTTAGCCAGGAACCATCTGATATTAGAAATTATATTCCTCTTCCTATATCTTCTTCTGAATCTGGTTTGAGTATCTCGCAGTTCCTTGTCTATTTTAACTGGCTGAAACCACTTTTTAACTACACCAAAATTTTAATTTTGTGTGATATTAATGCTATTATTCTGTAGCTTCCACATTGACTAGCGGCACTAGCAACACTGATATGCTCAAGAGACATATGTAAGTAGTAACAACTGTATTAGACAGCATAGCTATGCAAATTATTTACCCAGTAAAACTGTAGTAACTAAGAAGTGAGATAAAAGTGAAGATCAGCTCTATTTTTTCTTTCCATCAGCATTATTTTATGCGCGCGCTCTCTCTCTCTCACGCACGCACACACACACACACAACCCTTTAAGGAAAATTCTGATTTAAGCAGTTGCTCTCAAAGCTTATCTATTTCATTCTTAAAGCCTGCTTAAAAACAAAACTCCAGAATGGTTCTCAGGTACAGACGGCTGGAAGAAGTTCAATATGAAAGAGTAACATGCAGGTCTTAGCATGTCTAGTAATAAGAAAACAAAAACACTGCAGGTTCCAATAATTGACCTAAAGTTTTGGTTTTTTTTAAATTTATAATGACTAAGAAAAATTTCATGAGGGACACTGAAATGATCTGGGAGAAAACAGCAGATAAATTATTCTGAAATAATCATTCAAAAAACAAAACATGAATTTACTATTCTTTAAAATATGCTTTGTCTGCATGCTTTTCACACCTCCCATTGCTATCACCCTTCTTTATTCACTGGTGATTTAGAAACCCAACTGGACATTACTAATGTCTGAAAGAGTTACCTGAGCACTTCTATAATAATTATGTAAAGGGGGGGGAAATTATTAGATGAAATGGAATCCCATTCCTTAGATACAGAAAACAAGCAATGCTGAGTGACCAAGGGCCAGTTTAAACTTTAAATATCAACAAATGAATGGACAGACCAGCTGTGGTATATTCACACAAATGGGATACTATGCTGCATTGAAAAACAAGGAACTCATTCAATATTACTCAAAATGGGTGACCCTGGAGAACATAATTCTGAGTAAAAGATCACAGTCACAAAAGGGCAAATGCTGCATGGTGCCACTATTATGAAACAGACTGCCATAGGGGTTGGGGGCAGGGGGAGACTGAGAAACATGGGATAAATTATGTATATTGCATTTAAACAGATGAGAGAGAGAACTGTTTAAAAGGTATGTATGATTATGTATTATTGTCATGACATGAGTCCAGAACGAAAGCTGCATAGTGGAGTAGACTTGAGGGGAGGGATTGTATAACAATGAAAGAATTTTTCTTTTACTTTTCAAAGAGAAGAATGAACTCGAGGGGAGGTTGGGCTGGGAGAAAAGTACAACAATAAATGAATGGAAATACAAAATATCTGTACATTTTAATAATAATAATAATGGAATAAAAATTTAAACATTGTAAAATTCAGACTTTCACTTAATCTCAGTCAGTCCCTTGACTCTGCCCATGGACACAGGCAAAAACAAGTCATCATTCTCCTTACCTTCATCCATTCCGTTAAGTAATTCGGTCAAGTCTTCATTTTTACTGTCAAATTGGTGCTCCTTCCACGTTTCACCATTTTCACTTCGAAGAACAATGAGTTCTCGCTCTTTTCCTCTCATTGACCCAAAGTGAGGGATTTCCACTATTACAGGGCTGGAAAAAAAATCCACCTTGTTTTTGTATCTAATTAAATATATTAATACAGCATAATTAACAAATGTTTCATTAACAGTATTCATTTGAAAAGAAGAGGTGCCACTAAGGTTGGGAATGATTTCAAAGCTGCAGAATCATTTGCTAATTAAATAATAATAATAATATATTGGAAGCCTGATAACATGCCGTTGGTCATTCATTCGCAAACCGTTCTTAAGGGCCTACTATATGCTAGGCATTGGATTTGATGGGAAAAAATATTTAGTGCATAATAAGCAGAAAATCTTAATCAAATAATTAAAAGTTACTTAGAATAGACCATGAGATCAAAGTTGGTCCATTTTTAAAAATGATAGGGTTATTATACTAAATGCTAATGCTTTATAAAAGGACACAGTCATTTCTTCAAAAATTCTTTACAATTGTCCCATTTTTAAGGATTATTGCTATATTTTTCCCTTCTCAGCAAGAAAACAATCAATGTATTAATCTACTCTCTAAACAGTTTCCATGATTTTTACGTGCAGACAGTTTCTGTGATTTCCAATTTGTGAAATGGGAACAGGCAGCTGAATTTCCTGGCTCTAGTACAACCTCGTAGAATATTCCAACTTCCTGAAGAAGTGCTCATTGGTTGGAAAGCACTATGTGGTGACATATTACTTTTTGACAGTGTCCTTTTGCAAGGAGATGTGAAAGAATGGCTGCAAATTGTAGAGAGCCAATCAAGCCACGGGAAAAGAATTGATTCCATCTTAAGTTAGGATTAAATGCTAAAAAAGATGAATGGAATTAAGCAGACCACAATCACACACAGTTTATGTCGTAGGATTGTGCAGCTTTCTTTTACGACATTTAAGCAGACAGTATCATTACTCTCCTACAGAGGTTGTATATAACCTCACTTTACAGCCTAAGTGTTCATGTAAATATGGCAAAGAGAAGATAGGCTTAATTCAGGAAGAGCATCAAGAGGGAGTTGCTGTTAATTGCCTTCGAGTTGAGCACAACTCGTAGCAACCCTATGAACAAAAGGCCTGAAGCCCCTCTACAACTATCAACATTTATCAAAGTCCATAGAGTTTCTGGAGGCATGTTTACATAAAAATATTTATTCCAATAGTATTTACTTTTAATTAGGAGGATGATCATTTTACTTTTGTAAAAATAATTATGATCCAAATTAAGAGCATTTAAAAAGAGTCTTTAGAATGCCTTTATTCTTTGGTAGGCAGAAAGAAAAGGAACTAAGGCTATTAATATTGAGAGTTAATAAGATAGTTACCACAGCTTTTAACTATATTTTATTGGACATTAAATATTTTTTTTTAGAACAAGATACAATCTTTGCAGGTTAATGCATCAGATACTGTCTCTGTAAATATTTCAGGAATGTGGCTTTGTGTATGACATTCAACAATACTGGAGAGAAGATATGAACAAGGGTCTTTGACCAAGGTGAAAGCCAAGCATAACTTTTCATAACAGGTTCCTTCATGCAAACTGCCAAGGCAACACCATCAGTCAAACAGACGAGCAAACAAACAACAAATACCAACACATTTCAGCTTTAAAAAAACAAAACAAAACAATTCGATCAATTCATAGAATGTTCTAGCTGCCTTCTAGTTTAGTTTTCTGTATCTTGTACACAACATTTTTTAAAATCACTTTATTTAGCAATGATTTTTTTTTCTCTCTCTTGAAGTCAGTTACAATGGCATAGTGCTCATAGGTACTTATTTTCAAAATTAATTCCTTATGCAGACATATCTATGCACCTTTATCTGTATATGTGTACACATTGTTGGTAATAAATGTTGATTCAAAGCCTGAAAATATCTTCCCTTTCTATGGGTTAAAGCTAAGACTATTGCGCTGTCTTAAAAAATATATGCAGTTGAAACATTTCAAATTAAAAAAAAATTTACAAAAGCACAAAGTTATGAAAGCAGAATGCTTGCCGTGAACTTCACATGCTTGAAAAGCACAAGATAGGTAGCAGTGCTACATTAAATCAAGCCACTAGGATTTTATTTTCTTTCCTTTCAGTGACACACATCAACTGAAAGCATTAAAAAACTGAAAAAGAAAAAAAAATTAAAGACAAGAATAAGACCATGGGTGTGACAGAAAAAATTGGAAATGAAAAATTAAAAAAATAATTGTAGACATTCTGTATCTTTTCTATAAAGATCCTACCCAATAAATTTTGTTCCTTGAGGCCCAAGCTGCAGGATTCGGCTAACCAAGCTCTCACCCTCATTTACAGGGGGAGGATTGGTAGGAAGATGCAGTTTACTGAATAACATCCATGCAGCAGGAAGAGAAACGAGAAGGGGAAATTGTGAGCAAACTGTCAGTCACGACAGAGCCTGCCTGATTTGCACCCAAGTGCCACCTCAGAAAATGAATTTAATTGATGTTTCCTTTGTTTTTTTAAAACATCCTACCATAATAGATTATTTCCCAAAAATGTTCTCTTTAAGAAGACATGACCCAGAGGAATTATTTACCTACTGTGGTGATAAAATTCCAGCATCTGTATTTTTCCCCTAAGAAAGGTAGGTGCCTTGACTTCTCGGGAGGCCATTAGGGCTCCGTGCACATACTGAGCAGAGAACATGCTTCTTGGTTAGTAAAGCTTTGACCAGCACCGAGTTAAGGATGTATCAGCCTAATAGCTTTCACAGAATTACACAGTTTTGTGACTTTTCACACTACATAAAAGCTGTACTCAATCAAAATGGTCCAGCTCAGTAGTTTCAATAGTTAAATACTTAAGTTAATAAGGGTAAAGCAAATCAAAAGTGTAATATGAGGGCCAAGAGTAAAACTGACAGATCAACTTACCCTAAAAATTGTGCCCCTGCAGGGCCCATCTCTACCAGCCTACTGGCTAATCCCTCTCCTTCCACCATGGGGGGTGGGTTGGCCAGTTTATGTCTCTTTACCAAACGGCAGGTGATGCGGGTGGGGGCTGTGCACTTGCGTGGTGGGATGATGATTCTCATCCCATGGTGCCGGCTTCCTCTCATGGAGCCGCCTCGTGCGTCCACCATGAAGCTAACCAGAAACCTGAAGAAGAAGATGAGATGTCAATTAAAGAGAGAAGAGACCATCCTCACAGTAGGCTTTGAAAGTAAAGGTTAAAAATTTAAAGTGACATTCACTGTAGTGACATTTCCTCTCAATTTTTTAAAAGTTAAAGTGACAAGTCCTCTCTTTGAAATTATTTTCAATTTCCTCTCCTAAAAGATAAACTGGGAATAAATATAGTGGAATCATATCGAACGGGCATTTATTTGGTCCCCTACGCAAAAGCTGAAGCATTACAACTTATTTTTGGTTTAACGTGTCCTCTAAAGAAGTCAGCCACTTTATCACTTGGTCAAATTGACAGAATAGTGAATGTTTCAATGTCAAGATTAAAACTGATAATGTAAGGCTGTTGTGTGGTTTGTTTGGTTGGGTTTTTTTGGTTTTGTTTTTGTTTTTGTTTTTAAATAAAACCCTGCAGGGTATGGGCGCTTTCGGAGTAGTTTAAGGCATATCCAAGGGTCATTTTAATTATAAGTGGTTTTTGCTGTCTGGTGACTAGGTAATCTCTTTCCTTTACAAGTAAAATGAAATGATACTTACTATAGAGCATGTCTTAACAAGTACAACTTAGAAAATGAACGCCTATTTTACCAGCACTAACTTTTACTATCACAAGACAGAACATAAGCCTAAAAGCACAGGATGATGTGACTAGTTTTGCTAAGGTCATTTTGATGGAAAAGAACATAACCTTTTTGGAATAAATTCAGACTAACATATTATTTTAGATAAGCTATATTTGAATAATCTGTACAGCAATATAGATAATGGTATCTTAGACATTTTTAGCCAGTTTCTTTAAATTATGTAATTCTGAAACCAGCATGTATTTGAGTGCTGACAAGAAAAAATATCTACAAAGATATAAACTGGTAAAAACCTATCGTATCTGGAAAACAGCATTCCAGAATTTTTATTTCAATCATGTGCTTCTGGGAAAGTTCCTCTGTGTCATATGTCTTATTACTGTCATCAGAGAGTTACAAAGTACACTGGTGAACAGGTATCAATGGCCCAACACGTGAGAGAGGGCAAGGCAGAACAAGAGAACTTTAATGCTTATCCCTGTATTCCAATTATATTTGAAATATGTGTATTACTCAATACTACCAAATAGTAAGGGCTAAAAAAGTATTTGGATACCCAAAACATTCTTGGAGAAATAGTCCCATCCATCAAAATGCCCAGTTATTTACTAATCTAAAAACTGTGCTTATAGTTTATAAATAGATTTTTAAGACCTTCCATGAAAACCCAGCTGGCAACCCTTTCCTGAAGGATAAAGTGTTTCTACCTGAGTAGACGGACTCGTCCATCAGGCAAATTGCTCTGGCTCCCATAGAGACAAGCAAAAGGATGGGGAAATGTTTCAGCCAATCTGGTTTTTAAAATGAATCTGCCCAAAACCAAGGTAGACACTTCTACAATCTTTTGTTCATTTTTAGTTTATTCAATTTACTTAGGATTAATTTATGTATTTGATTACTAAAAACAAAACAAAACAACCTCAAACTCAATGCCACAGAGTTGGAACCAACTCATAGCTGACCCTCCAGTGGGTTTTCAAGGCCGGAAATCACATGAGTGGAAACTGCCCATCTTTCTCCCATTAAACCACTAGTGGATTTGAACCCCTAAAGAGGCACCGCCTTTTAGTAAACAGTGTAATTTCCACACAGACATTGCCAAGAGGCTGGGACCACTGTGGTACTAAAGGTAACAGAGGACAGACTTCCTTTTAAAAAACCAAAAAGGAAACAAAGGCAGTTAAACTTTCCTTGTACAACTCTCCAAATGGATAATTTCCAATGTCAGATGATAGTGGGGTCACTTGGGATTGCTCTGAGATGCCTACATTTGCTTAGCCATGTGTGCATATACATGTATGTATACATCTATGTTTACAGAATTAATTGCCTTGATTCCAACAAGCAATGAGGAAATATAATGAAGAAACTTTAAAACTTTCCTGCATTTATTAACTAAAATGAATTCACGACTGGGATATTAGTTACAAAATATTTTAAAAACAATGCAGATACATTGTGGGTTTGAATATTCAGTATTGGTACAGATAAACACTGAAGCACTTCCATGGAGAGGGAAGTGTTGGTCCATCCAAGAGATGACTCTCAGCAACATGGAGAGTCATTCCGAGAAGGTCTGTCTTGCTTCCTGCTCACACTGCAATACCCCTACACACTGAGCATGCAATAAATGCTTCTTAGATAAATCAGTGAGTGAAATCTGAGCTTGGAAACTGCTGAGGTCACAAGAAATTGCTAATAGGAAAAAGTAAGTGCTTGTGTGCAGTCTGAAGGGAGTATAAGAGGGTTATCAGTAGCAGTATAAAAACATTCAGGCTTAAAAACATATGTATCAGAACCAAAAGAAAGCAACCATATGGTAGCTGCTGCCATTCACTGTCTTGAGTTTTAACCGACTTAAAGCTGATGCTGCAGCAGCTTTTCAAGGCCGTAAATTGCATAGGAAACTTTCCATCTTTCCCCTTCCAAGCAGCTGATAGATTCAAACTGTCTGCCCTCAGGCTGGCAACACAACTCCTTACCTGTCAGGCTACTAGAGCTCCCTATAGTACAGCTTAGATGATTTAAAAATTAATTGAAAGAATTTCTTCTCTGTGCTCCTCAGAGCACCCAGTGCATTGTTGGTGCTCTTTAACAACTATTATTGTTTAGCAGTGTCAACAGACTGGGGAAAGGTTGATGTTTATATATGTCAAGCAGGATGTGGAGGTCCTATTATTCAAGAATGCAAGGAAATACAAGGATTATATTGTTTACATAATGTTTTCCAAACATTTCTCTACACATTGTACAAAATAAAATGTCATGCATCATAACTTACAGAAATAAACTAAAGGTGTCGTTTAGGTAAACTTATAAATTAATATGCTTAAACTACAGCATGGAACCTACAAATGATCCTACAGCTAATACATAAATGTTTCTAATTGTGGGAACACCAGGGTAACAAATGCTGACACACTACAGACATTGACACATCTAGGCAGGGAGAAATGCACATAAATTATAAATACAAAAAGGATGGTTCACATAAAGGACACAGTTATCACCTTGAATCATACTGAGGAAGTGGAGAAGAATAGCTGCAAAATAATTTAGAAAGCAAATGGGAAAAATTAATGTGAGAAAATTAGAAGCAAGCAACAGAAAATGTCAATGATCAGCAAAGGAAAAAAAAATAAAAACTATCAGAAAAATGAAACCAAGGCATTTGGCATTTGTAGCACAACCCAGAAATATATTTGCCTACTTGTAGCTATAAACACTACTCCACAGACCTGGCTTTCACGAAATGTTGCCAAATGTATGTCAAGTCTGTAATTTTCTTTTCAAATAAGCCCACATTGGCTGCTATTAATTGTGCTTTGCTGCACATGTCTACTGTTGCCAATAATGTTCAAAGGAATGTGGAAATAATGTATATATTCTTATACATTCACTCTTTACTTATGGACATGGTAATGTGGCCAAAAGACCAGGTCATTAGGCAAAAATTAGCATAATGTAAAAATGGTGGATGCCACGTCACATCACAAATGGAAAATGACTACATCATTAAATAACCACCACCTGACGTCATTATGTAACTGTCAAAGCACTGGGGTTCGTGGTCCAGATAAACTGATGGATCACAGTCCACATTACCATCGCCTTCCACCTTGGTACCATTACAGCCAAATGTACATTTTTAATGCACAAAATTGTTGGACAGTTGGTATTTTACCATTCTCCTAAATGTGAAATATTGTATAATGAGCTACTCAATAAACTACTATGTTTGAGAAAGTTAATTTCTGATTTTATCATTCTATAGCTCTTCAATGTCTCAATTTATTAAACTCTAATACTTTTCTTTCACATGCAGAGAGTAAATTATCTCCATCTGAATTATATTTTATTTGTTTTTAAAATGTGTGTCAGAGGCCCAACTCTGTAAAGATACTTTAACTCTCCTCTGAGTCTCACATAACATGTAATATCTAATAGTATTCAGTGGTTCAAAGAAAAATTTTTAAAATACATATCAAAGTTTTAGTGTTTGCCAGTTAAACAGAAAGCAATAGGTGTATGTTAGCTATTATAATTTCTTTTTATTAGAAGCAGCAGAAAACATTTTATAAGCTATAAGACAAATTATAAATGTTAATTATTATTCATTTATATCCAACTTAATCTGTTCTTCTTCTGGGTCACAATTAATTTATAGCCCAGATTTCAAAGACTGTATTTTCAGACTTTTCCTAATTTTAATAGATTATTGCTGTTATTTTTATATCAGATATACAAAAATTAAATTATCTAGTGGAGAAGAATTCAATACCTAAAATATATTGAAAATAAAATATATTGTTAAATTAACTTAGCTGAAAATATCTGTTTGATATGGTTTCTAATATAGCACTCTCTCTCTCTATATATATATATATATATCTCCTTTTTTAAGTGCATCTCTTTCTTTCCCCTCCTTGTTTTTTTCCTAACTGTTATTTCATACAGTTAATTTCAAGAAGGTTGAACATATATTCATACCACAACTGTTTCAAGTTTGTTTTTTCTTTTTAATACTATAGAGGAACAAATAACTTGAAAATAAAAGATATCAGTGCTTACTGCTTATGTAACATAACATTTAAATATGATTCTCTTATTATTAGAAGCAAAGCACCAAAGCCATCAAATAGTAAAGTAAATTAATGGAAATACTTAAATATTAATATTTACATTACTATTAAAATAAGATCCTAAGAAAAACCTATGGTACCTACACACAATGGAAAATTATGCAGCACTAAAAAAAAACATGAATTCACACAACATTATACAACATGGGGGAGCATGAAGAGGACATTATTCTAAGTGAAATATCTCAGTCACAAAAGGTCAACTACTGTATAACATTATTATCGGGGAGGTTGGGGATAGGATGGGAAAAGAGTTGATACATAATGAACACTGCATTAGAACAGATGAGAAGAAGCACTGTTTGAAAGGAAAATATGAGTGATATGTCTGACATTACATGTCTGACAACAATCGGGAACCAGGGGTGCACTGCAAGGTGGACTGGGGAGAGGGAGGAAAGGGAAGGAAGGAAATGTGCAACATTGAGTAAAAAAGTAATATAATGATAAAACAATAAACCCCTAGAAACAAAAATTTATTTTAATAGTAATGTAAAATTAAGAGAAGCAAATATATGTTTAACTTTTTTAATGGAAAAGGAAAACTTGAGACTTAGAAATAGTAGAATACCCAGGAGATTTCACTATAGACAATAATTTAATTCATTTCATTTCAACACTTTGCTTTTATTAATAAGGAAATACACAGAATTTTTTAGAAAAAGGAGGTGGTTTATACATATGTCACAAATACTCATCACGGATACTCACTAATGAAGTTCTTTAGAAGATCAGTATTTTACACATGTGAAGCATGGCAGTAAGAATTTATAACTACAAATAATAAATGCAAAGGTCATTTAATTGAAAAATGCCACCATGGTTACTTACCCAGAGTGAACAGGGCTTGAGACAAGATTGACATTGTCCAAAGTGTCTGCAGCCCAGCTGTAATGTCTAAGAGAATCTGAATCAAATTCTCTTGTGAATGTTAGATGCTGAAAAAGAAAACAGCATAGGCCATCAACCATTCAAACATGACAGTGGTTTTCTCTACATCTATAAAAGTACGCATTATGAAAGTTCCACGCTTCCATTGTGGATGTCCAGGCAATGACTAATACTTCAATAGTCCCTTACGAATTTTTGTTTGTTTTCTTTCCTGAAGAGAAAAGAACTGTACCTATGTCCATTATTTACCCCTAACAGTTTTAGTGGATGCGCTTGTGTCTTAGAGGTAAGGAGTTGCACTGCTAACCCAAAGGAACCTGGTTCAAATGCACCACCTTCTCTGCTAAAGATGAGCAAGCTCCTCTTGCACAATTTACAGACTCTAAAAATGTGCTGCAGGGTCAGCTCTGAGTCCCTGGCTCAATGGCACATAGCAAACAACTGCAACAATAGTTTTAAAGACCCCCACATTCAGACTCTAGTCACCCCAGGCCTTAGGTAGTTAGAAGCAGGTAAGGTGGAGCTCACAGATGTGGCATGGACCCCCCCTGGCTTTGTCTGGTGGGCACCCCAGGTTGCTCCTGCCACTCAGCCAGGTGGAACAGCGAGAGCCTGGGTGCACTCGCTCCATCCCTACTCACTCACTCTCACTCCACTCCTTTCTCAGTCCCTTTCTTCTCGATAGATGTCATCTCCGCCAGCTGCTCTGGGAGCAGCAGCAGTGGGAACAAGGGTGAGCAGAAGGGAGGCTCTTTTGAGACTTCAAGCATGGTGTTCACACAACGTCCAAAGCATAACGTCCTATCTCACAGTCTCTATATGGACATCAAGCAGTATCCTGTTTGCCTGTATTTCTCTTAAAGTCCAAAGAACCTAATATTCAAAATATATACTTTTCAAATTCTTCTCCTTAAAAGCTTGCATTGAAATTTGAATACAAAAAGTTAAAACAGCAAAGTCAAATTTTATCATGTACCATGTCCATTTTAAAAAAGAAATCTCCATGGGTAATTTACAAAGAAAAAGGACTATCTTATGAGCCATCGTGAACCATGATTTTAAATATTTCAACATACCTCTAAACAAGGCCTATAACTATATAATTCTTTCACAAATCTCACAATAATTCAGTCTTGGTGACTTCCTGTTTCCAACTGGGACAGTGTAGTTAGTAGTAAACCAAAAATAAGAGAATAAAATAGAAAAAGCATCTCTAAATGTCACAGACAGCAGCTAGGGCATCAAGAAGGAGAGGAGTTAATGCTGAAGAGGGGACAATCTTGAAGAAGTGAGTAGACTTTATAGATATTTTAAAATGGTGAACATTTTGTTAATTACCAGAACAGTCAGAATTTGGTTTCTACAAGTGCACTCCTGGGAAAAGAGAAACCAGAAGATATTGGCACAAATCTGAGTGGCCTCAAGCAATCTACAGTTTTCCATCAAGAACATTTGCTAAATTCTAGGGCTGTGCACAATAGGAAGCTAGAATTCTTTGAAAAGCAGAGCAGAACTTTGTTGTTTGTTAGGTTTCAAAAGACAGAGATTTCATTTGGGAATTTTAAGAGGTGAAAGGACACAAATGACAAGGATAACAAGTAACACTAGAGAGTCAGGGGTGAACCAGAGGACTGACAAAACTTTGATTAGATTAAAATAATCAACCAGCAGTCTATGTGCCTAGCAGAGGAAAGAGAAACCCCTCTGGAAGGATATATCACTATTGGATGTATCTACGACTTCTTAAGACAGTATGTCAAGTATTCAATTAAAAAACTGCCAGCCATAGTCAGATTACATGAGCAAAACCAGGAAAAACAAATAAAAAATACTCAAGTATTTATAAATTAACTCCAGTTTATCTAGACATTAAGTAAATGAACAGTAACCTCACAATAACTATGATTAGTAGATTTAAGAAAATGGAGAGAAATAAGAGTAAATTGGTTTAAAGATAGAAAATTCAAGAAAATACTAGAATACCCATAAACAAGTAAATGAGCATCAGTTTCATTTTTAAATGCAGGGCCAGTATTGGCCAAAGCACCAGAGAAAACGGATAGTACCCACAATAGAACAATGGAAATAGACAAAATAAAATATAGCTTAAAAAAAGAGAGAAATAAATTGCATAAGACATGTGGAGTAAAATGAAAAGTATACATACATACATATACTTATAATTTGACTCCCAGAAGTATAAAGAAAACGAAGTGGAAGCTATATTTGAAGAGAGAATGACTGGCATTGATCACAATATGATAAATTACTATCCCATCAATGCAAAAAAAAAAAAAACCCGAATCTTAATTTTGTTCTGCTAAAAATCTGCTCTCTACTTCAACCTATGTAAAATGAGAATTAGTTTTTGTTTTGTTTTTTAAAAATAGATACTCAAAGGGAATAAGAGTAAAATACATCACTAAAAGAAAAGCAGTTGAAAAATATGCTTAAAACTTATTTGGCTCCTGTAATGCTTTCAATTGATTATTACTAGACAAATAGACAAATAATGCTTCTCCTTCCTTCTCCCAGATCTGGCAGGAGAACTGACACATCGTATCAGGGCTGAAGTTAAAGACTCAGTACTGAAAAATAGGTGTAAGTATGTACTCAATGTTCAGACTTCAGTCTTCTTTCTTTTCAGTTGCCCCAGAAAACAGATGGCAATGTGGAAAAAAATTTCAAGCAGACCATTGGGAAGTCTGACTTAAGCATTGGGATTTCCCAGGGAAAATTCCTAGAAATGAGGAGAAAATTCTAAAAAGAGAAGGTAAGAGAGAAACATAAGAAAGCAAAGAATCAGTGTGAGAAAAGAGGTCCAAATCCCCACGAGCATAATGAAAAACAGAAATTCAAGGGAGTCTGCAGGGTAATGACAATGGAAGATAATGTGGGCAGTGGAAGCAAGCTCCAGGAGACAGGAAGAAGATGCAACTGATAAAACAGAAAGCAACAGGAGAGTGTTAGAGAGAGAGAGAGAGAGAAAGAGAGAGAGAGAGAGAGATACTCAGTCGGTGGAAAATGCAACAAGTGTCAATACATGCATATATCTGGAGAGACAGAAGCATACAATATGATGAGTGTTTTTACTACGAAAAAAATGTTTTTAAGCAGTTGCCTCTGGTAGAAGAAAACAACTGGGAGCTGAAATGATGTATGGAGAATCTGTTCAGAAGTAAGTCTTATAGAAGTGTATGACTTTGCTTATATGTATATAACTTTGACAAGAATAAAACGTAAAAGCTTAACCCTAAATCACAAATACACAACTGAAAGTTGGGCAGTTTAATCATGCGGGAGGAGAACGCCTATCTTTGTCCTGCAGAACAGCTGGTGCATGAGAACTGCCTGCCTTCGGCATAGTAGTAGCACAGCTCCTTACCACTTGAGCTCTCCCTATTAGATAAAGTATAATGGTGACAGAAGAAGAATCGATGTCTTTGAATTGTAATCTTGGGGAAGTGTATACTGAATGTCCTTGGACTACTAATACAACAAACAAAGCGATCAGGGTGCTTCTTAGAGGATGGTGAAACTTTATCTCACATTCTGAGGGCATATTATCAGGAGGGCCAAAAAGATATCATACTTGGAAGGGTGGAGGGTCAGAGAAGAAGTCTCTTAAAAAGAGAGATTTACACAGTCACTGTAACAATGGGGTAAAGTATATCAAAGATGCTGAGGAAGGCACAGGATAGGTTCAGACCTGCTGTTTGGAGGATCGCTATGAGTTGTTTGTTGTCTACTCAGCAGCACCAAACAAGAAGTTACTTTTTTTTCCCCCAAAAAAGTCCTGAAGCAAAGTGTAAAAAGAATTTGGTGAACACTTGTCTAAAATAACTGATGCTTTTTTAAAACTGATACTTAAGTCCTAGAAAAACCAGGAATGAACTAAAAATAGTTTTTCACACTCAATAGGAGAGGAAGCATTTACTTATTACATAATAAATTGTCTTAACTCACAGAAACAAGGTCCTAACCTCAAATAGCAATATACTGCTTTAGAAAGTTCCCAAATTCTATACTGGGCTTACCAGAGATGAGATGTTGCTCTTAGTTTGGCCTCAGTACTAATTATGTACACTAGCTATTGGAAAACGCAACCATCAAACATTTAGAAGCAAAATATTTGTTATAAACTAGGAGTACTTCTCACTTCCCCTTCTGCCTTATTTATGGATTTACTTTGGGATAAGCCACATTTCCTCCATTTGGGACCTGAGGTTATTTTTTACAATGGACCTATTTTCCTTTCTTCCTCGCCCCTTAAGTTATAATAAATAAATAATATCATTCCTCTTTGGTAATTGCAGTAAATTATTTACTCTTGGTACTATTTGAAACATGTACTGGTGGCATTAATTATTGAAACAATGAATTATATCATGCAAAAAAGACATCAGTGCCATCATGTAAGTATTTATAGAGGCAAAGTACGCTTGCAAACTGGGAGCTCACATCCCTTCGAGGCCCTTCTTAAATGCTTCATTTTTGCAATTCTTTGCTCATTATTAGCCTCTATTGTAACCTACATCCTACTTAGTCAAAATAATCAATGATATATCCCAACATCTGCCCCAAACATTAACACTTAAACATGCATTTTAAGTGCCATGCTAATCCTCTGTGGCAATTTCTGCCCTCACTGGAGGGGTGCTCAGGTTATGGGCAGACTCAACTGAGTTTTCGTAATCTGGACCCACGTACATAAAATGCTCTTTCTACAGTGTGCTGATATAAATACAAAATACGGCGAGTCCTTTCAACTCATGATTTTAATAGACAGAGATTAAATTGGTAGAATAAAGAGCTACCTGTCTCCAAAGAATACTTTCTACACATAAGGATATATTTAAAATTGAAATATGAAATGTAAATAGTAAGCAATATAAACTCTACAATACTTGATGTGTTATCTAACACATACCACCACAGTCCCAACACAAAACTTTACTTCCAGTAGCTTTTCAGTACCAACAAAAAGCTTTGCTGAGCTAACAGAAATTTAAAATGGTAATGAGGACACTACAAATAATGATGGCTA